CTAACATGACCAATGAAGAAATCCTATGTGGGTGCAATGGCACAGGGCCTGATTGGACTTTAGTCTGAGTTGTAGACATTACCTGAGGGCAGCACCAACTTCTCGACAAGGTGGGAGGAGATTTCCCAGATGTGATCCACATATTCTTTGCTTTTCTGGGCCCATATCCAAATGACTGGGTCAATCAAAGCTCGGGCCTTATCCATAACTGTGGCATTTTCATTTATTACTTTCTCCATCACCTCCTGGTAAAGCACTCTTTTCTCCAATAGGTCATCCAACAACTCATTTTTTATGTCCTCGGTCAGTGATAGGATTGAAATTATCTCCTTCAGGACTTTGTCTGTTTGAAGCACAAGGATTCCTCAAGTCACTAAACAGCCTCATTTTCCTCTCAAGTCAGCAACAGGGAACAGCCTCCTTTACATTTAATCCATAAAATGTCCCTCCCCATGCAGTTCAGTCATCCTGAGCTACCCACAGCCTTCACTCTCCCCTAAGTGCTACCCAGTGTGCTCACTGAGAGCCTGAAGTCCCAGATTTACTCTAAGTGCCTCCTGTTTATTCAACTCCGCATAATAAAAGAAGGAAAGAGTGATAGCCTATTTCCCTGGGGGACAGCAGCTGCTGGTACCCATCTCATGGGGACCCTGCACCCTTTGGCAGATAATTCAGTTAAGATTGCAAAATAACAGGGTAATACCAGTAAAGCCCAGTTCCTTTCTGGCCCTCACCCTGCCTTTCTGAAAGCTGAGAGTCTTAGGGGCCTCTTCTCTACTTCCCTTTCTCCTCTTTCCTCTTTCTTCCCTCTTCCTCAGTTCTGTTCACCTAAACATTCACAAAACCTAATTATGGCTTCCCCACAAGCCAGCCACTTTCAAAAATTTTCCCCTTTTAGAAAGTAAAAACAAACAAACAAAACAGAACAAAAAAACCCCCAAAACTCACCGGCCATGGCTTTTCTCTCCTAGCCTTGGCGTGCAATTTGAAACTGAAAGCAATTTGAAACTGAAACCTTCCTTTTCAGCAGTGTGTGTTAAGCCCAGATTTCAGGATCCCCAAAAGACCATCAGAGGGCCAAGTCCAATGCAAAAGCAAAAGAGCCTTTATTCGAGGTAGCTCGGCTCCCCGTCCACCACACTCGCCTAAGCAGCGGCAGGAGGAAGAGAGAGCGCTCTGTGGGGAGAGGGGTTTTATAGGGGGGTTGGAG